TCAAAACACAGATGACCTAAATCTTAAGGAGAAATGTAGTATCATTTCCCAAGAAGATTTCTATTTCATTCTGTGATCCTAGAAGATCATTCTTAAGTATTACAGATATGAAATTGTTATGAAATGAATTTCCCATGAAAGTGACCTCTTGCCCATGAGAGATTAAACACTTGCTTTGTATGTATCATTCCTTCTGAATGAGAATTACACCATGGTGCATTGGGAAAATATAGCAGGGCATATTATTGCACATTATACTGGCCTGGAAAAAGAACACTAAAACATACTTTAAAAGAAATTAAATAATTTCTACTAATGTTAGTATTTATAAGTGTAGTATGTTCTCTAAAAAAATAACTGAGGTGATGCTTGGAAATCGTTTGACTATTAAATATTCAGTAACAATTCTGCAAAGCTAGTCAAAACAAAATTAAGCATAAACTTAATTTCACTTCCTTGCTTGTCTGCTATTATAGTCTTCAGCTCTGTGACAATCTTTTTTCCTGTATATTTCTGTTTCAGTCTACAAATCTGAGTCCTTACTCAGATTGGTGTTTGAGATATGACCCTAACATGTTTTCTGAACACTGCTAGCACCCTATTTAAAGATTGACGTAACATTTTTATGTAATTCTTGTGATCGCAATGTCTGGTTCAGACCTAACGTACTTGTAGTACCCTTCCAAAGGCAGAGACCTGCAATCCCTAAGGCATAGGTTGGAATACAAGATGAAGTTTGTAAGAAATAACCTGTAATTGTATATAGCTTGATTCAGTCTAGGATATCAGGGTTCAAGACGCATTCCCTTGACCTCAGCTGAAGCAATGAATGTTTTGAAGTCTAATGTGTTGGAGACTCAAATCTATTACCAACAAGAAGGGACAAAATTAGCTATTCTTGCTACCTTTTGAATATGAACAAGGGTCACTGAGACTGATTTCAGATCTGGGTGGTTTGAATAATTTGCTCTTTTTTTTTTTTTTTTTTTCTGGTGGGAACTTGTGTTGCTTATGAGTTGATTTACCTGATTTATCTTAAGGATAGTTGGCTTGATCTACTGTGTAATGCTTTCAATCTTCCTTCAAGTATGAATTGGGTCTTACGCAGTGAAGAAAGTTGTGTTCTGGGTTCTCTTTCCCTGCTCCCTATTTACATTTGTTCCCTTTCAGACTGTTCTTCTTTCCTCTTGCTTTCTTGCCTAATCATGTTCAAGACTGACCCTGTAATGACCACATTTAACTGATCGTAAAAATTATATTGAGAATGACAGTGAGTTCTGCTCATTCTCTGCTCAAAAATACCTTTTGTATTGGGTTTATGTGGCAAGGTTTTGGTAGTGGTGAGGAGCTCCAGGGGTGGCCTCTGTGAGAAGAGTCCAGCAGCTGCCCCATGTTAGATAAGGGCCAGTTTCAGCTGGCTACAAAGGGACCCACTGCTGGCCAGGGCTGAGCCAACAAGTGATGTTATTTGCATCTTTGTGAGAGCAGATTTAAGGAAGGGAAAAACTACTGTGCAACAGCAGCTAGGAGAGCAAGGAGTGAGAATCAGCCCTGCAGACCCCAAAGTCAGTGCAGAAGGAGGACAGAAAGTGCTCCAGGCATGCAGCAGCAGCTCCTCTGCAGCCTGTACAGAGGCCTTTGGTGGAACAGGCTGTCCCCCTGCAGCCCATGCACAGCAGAGCAGATCTCCATGCTGCCACCTGTGGAGGAGTCCCCAGTGGAGCAGGTGGATGTGGCCTGGAGGTGATCGTTTAATTGGTTCAATGTGCAAGCCTGAAAGTATGATTTAAAGGTCCAATACTTAATCAAGACTTCTCCCCCACACACTACCCAAACTAAAGGATTGAAGTTTCCTCATGCTCTTTGAGGACTTTTTACTCTTGACTGTAACATTGTGATGCTATTGCTTCTAGATTGATTGTATTGCGAATTACTGGATGCAAGAGCTTGGCATACATTTAAGATAGACATTTCATAATGAGTTTAATCTTGCTCTAGATTTCTGATCTTTAGTTAGATTGTGCAAGTTTCTCATCTGCCTTTGTTTATTCACACTTCCCCCGTCCTCATAACAGTTATGCTGTGTTCATGTAATGATCAAAGTGAAATATTTATCAGTATTGAATTGGAATGTGTGAAACAGCACAAGAATTAAGGTAACCTTACAGTTACCTTAATATTTTAAGTCTTCTTAAAAGGAGAGTTTCACTGACCAAAACTTTAGACTATTTTTTAATCAGGCCTTGATTTAACTGATATAGGAAAAGGTAATACATCTGAATTGATAGAGTGACAAGCTGGTAAAACCTAATAGAGGACTAGGTCACTGTCACAGTTGCATTAGATTGATACTCTTTAATCAGTGAACTGTAAATGAAAAATTATGTTCTCAAATGCAAATGGAAGGAGGGAGTATAAAACATTTAGTCATAAATGAAAGATGTTAAATACTACAGTGGTGTTCCATAGATATCTCTCTTTAAAAACAATTCAGTTACTGTGCCATCTTTCAGTGTTTCTTTAGGTAGCTAAGAACTACTGCTTTCTTAAATGGAAGCTCTCTCCTGTCTGATACTGAGTACCTCAGAAGCAGTTCTTCTGCATGGGTGACAACTCAGGAATCTTACACTCAGTCTTCACTCCAATAGATGCTTTTGTGGTTAGTTATTTTGTATGGCCTTAGCAGTTATTTCAGATAACCCTAAAAAAATTTTGGAGTAGATTTTTTTTAAATGGACTTTAGACAGCTCTTGCACCTTTACCACTATCTTCTGTCATAAATACTTTGAGATGGAAAATAATGCAATTGGATTCTTCTGTTACCATGAAAAGTAACACATCTTAATCTCTCACTGATCTGAACACATTTCTTCCATGGCCTGGGAAGGCACTCAATGGATGTGTTGTTTTCAGACTTATTCCTGAACTTCATGTCCCAATGCAACTTTTCTTCCTGTCACTCTGAAAAGAGAATGCAAGTCCTGTAACTGCATTGATGTTAAAACCGACAAACTGTGCTCTCAGATATAATTGAACTTGATCTCTGTCCTCTAAGCTTGAAAATCTAGGGTGAGTGCTAAATTCCTCAGAACAAGTAATCATAGCAAGACTATCCTTGAAAATAATTTAATGCGACTGAAAATGCTGTTTAAAACTAGACCACATCTGTACTTCCAGTACTGTAAATAGTATGTTTAACAATAATCTGTCCTTCAGAGAAATGAGATTGCTGATTGTCTAAATAATTTTAAATATATTTAAAAAGGTGAGAAATATTTTTCTTTGCAGTAAGTATAGGAACTTCTTTTACTCCATCGCTCACTCTGAGAAAACAAATGACATTAGAGGTGAAATTTTCTGTGCAAGGATTCTTTTCAATCAATCCACAAATTAAGTAAACACACTCAGATTGTTATTACGTCAAGTAGGCAAATGCTACCTCCTTTCAGATGTGTTCACTTTCTTTATTCTGCTCCTGTTCTCGACAATATGTCACTCTATGACTGATGCATGGTCACTCCTTTGCCTGCAGACAGTATCTGAATTGGCATGCTGTCTTTTGCGTTGATCAGCCTTGAAAGCTGGCAAAATATTCAGCCTTGAGGGAGGGGAGGAGGAGAAGAAGATAACTTAAGTCAGTATGTTTCCAACACTTCAAGACTTGATATTTTCTTCTGTTATCTTATAGAAAACAAGGAAATGATCAGGTTTAAAGTTTGGGTTATGCAATGCTTTGAAGTAGTGTGGTGGTTTTACTCAAGTGGGCAGCTGAGCTTTACCACAACAGCTCTCTCACTCCTCCCCACCCCCCTCCCCCACAAAGAGGAAGGGGAAGAAAATACAACACAAAGATCTCAAGGTTTGATATGAGAATGATTGAATTAAAGGGAAAAGGAATGGAACAGCCACCTCCCCCACGAGAGTCCCCTCGTTTATTGCTGAGTGTGACATCAGGTGTTATGGAATATCCCTTTGGTTGGTTTAGGTCAGCTGCCCTGGCGATGTCCCCTCCCCATCACTTGCCCACCCCAGCCTGCTGGCTCTTGGGAGCTTGGAGGGAGTCCTGATACTGTGCCAGCACTATGCAGCAATAGACACAACACTGGAGTGATATCAGTGCTGTTCCAGCTACGAGTGCAGAGCACAGCACTGTGTGGGCTGCTGCAGGGAAAGGTGTCTCCATCCCAGACAGACCCAACACAAGTAGCTGTTGGAGTTCTTGGAAACAGTTTTGTGAACTCTGATAGGTAACTGACTAAGCAGCTGGCTTACCTCCTCTGCAACCCCAACATAGTGCAAGCTGCAAGCAGCAGTGTGCTGCTGTGGCACCTGGTGGCAGCACAAACTGCCCTGTGCTGGGGAAAACTGGTCCCAGCCAACCTGGGGTAACTAAAAATGGTGGGTGGAGAAACCTCTGACAGGCATCAAAAGATGCCCAGTCAGACGAGCGCGTGGCCCTCAGTGGTCGTTGGGGAATGGTGAGGTGGGGTAGTGGGAGCACTGTGATGGCCGCCTGCCCCTCTGCCCTGCTAGGACTGGGGAGGGTGAAGGCTGGTGTCTGTGTGCCCCTGGGGTGGGGTAGAGGTCCCAGCCACTACCCAGCTCCTCTGGTCACAACTATGTGTGGGCTGGCAGTAAATTAACTGGGGTAAGACTTGATGCTGTCCTGCCTGCAGCATCTGCCTGTAGTTGTGCCCTCATGGAGAAGTACGGGTCCAATAGTGCAAAGCGTTCATGTCCTCTGGGCTTTTTACCTGCTATTTTGTTTGTACTGTTTGAATTCTGGGGATCATAACCTGTTTTCCATGTCCAAAAATAAGACTATTAAAAAGTTGTATGAGAACTCATGTGTGAGATACTATTCCTAAACTTAACATGATCTTAGGTATGCAAAGTCACGTGGAGAAAGCAAAGTGAGGAGGAAAGTGTCAAGAACTGACAGTTTGTTGCTTTGGGTCGAGATTAATTTGTTTGAATGTAATGATTGTTTTGTTTTTTAGACTGGTGGTGACATTGAACTTAAAGCAGGGAGATGGCTAATGGAAGTGGTTATGAAAGTGGAAGTGACAGCAGCTGAAGTGGAAGGGAAAACTGAAGATTTAAAGTGCTGAAAATCATGTGGGTGAGAAGACTGGTAATTTCCCTTTCACAATGCTATGAAAACTGACGCACACTCTGCTTGATTATGGAGACTTAATATCTGTAATTTGATACTTGTTCGATGTGGGGATAAAAATCAGGGCATAGATTTAAAGAATATTACTTACAAATTGACTAGTCTTCAGTAATGAGAGAATCTGTAGAACACGGTTGAAAGTACTGCAAATAGAAAACGGATCCTGATGTGAACTAGGCTTGCTAGTGATAGCTAATATTATATTGATAGTTAGCTGGGTTTGGGGTTAAAGGTGTTGGAGATGAGCTTGGATGTGAATAGATTATATGTAAACACTAGCATTTTGGTTGCTTTTAGATGCCAGTCCTAAATCTGTTATTGTAATTACTAAGATAAAGGTAAACTGTGGTGGATTGATCTTGGCTGGCTGCCAGATGCCCACCCAGCCACTTTGTCACTCCTCATTAGCAAGATGGAGAGAAAAGATGGACAACACTTACTGTTCTATGAAAGGACAGGGAGCTCATTTCCCAATTACCATCATGGGCAAAAACAGCCTTGACTTGAGGAAGATTAAGTTATATAAAAATAGAGCAGGATGCTGACAGACAAAAACAGAACTGATAACACCTTCCCTTCTTCCTAGGCTGAACTTTGCTCCTTTGTTCATGACTCATGCTTCCACACCCCTTTCACCCCAAGCAGAGCAAGAGGATGAGGAAATGGGGGTTGCAATCAGTCCACAACACTTCCTCTCTGCCATATCTTCTTCCTCACATTTTTCCAATGCTCTAATGTTGGATCCCTCATAGGGGATACAAATCAATCCTGCTGCTTGTGTAGGCTTGCCACAGGCTAAAGTTTCCTTCAGGGCATTTCCACCTGCTCTGGTGTGTGGTCCTCCACAGGCTGCAGTGTGGATATCTTCTGACGTGTTCTTCCATGTTCTTCTGGGGAGCAACCATGGCCTTCTCCATGAGTTTCAGAGGGTGCCTGGAGCACCTATTAGCCCTCCTTCACTTACCTTGGTGTCTACAGGGTCGTTTCACTTTCCTTGCTCCTCTTCCCTCACTCCCTTTTCTCAACTACTGCCCAAAGTATATTAAAAAAATAAAATGAATTCTTAGATGTGTTATCACAGTGCTGCCATATCTGTGGCTGGTGGTCCAGTTGTGCCCTGTGCTTGTGAACCTGTTTTGAAGAGAGCTGGCTGGAACTGACCCTGTCGAACATCAGGGCATCCCCTAATCTCTTCTCACAGAAGCCGCCTCTGCAAACCTCCAGCTACCACAACCTTGCCACATAAACACTGTACAACTTAAAATAATATTAGAAGATTTAGATGGTGCTTGATTTGAAAGTCAGGAATTTGAGTAACTGGAAGATAATTTGGAGATTAAGGAAGTTAATTATGAAAATGCTTTTTTTTTGCTTCAAGAAAGGATTTATTAATTTTTAATTATTTTGTCCTGGATTGCATAATTCAATTAAATCTGTATTGGAACTTTGTGAACTGAAGAAAGATCATGTTTTTTGTGCTGTTTTTCCCCAAGTACAGGATCCTATTTCAATAAAACTGGGAAGAAAAGTCACTTATGTTAGGGAAAGGCAAAATATGCTAAATTAACATATATCAATATGAAAAATAACATCATCACCTTCTAATAGCTTGAAAGGCATGTTAAGCTAAAATAGCCCACTAGGAATAAATGATATTTAATGAATCGTGGAGGTAGATTATGTATACCTGAAACTTGTTTTTCCTTCCTATTTTCTTTTCTTTGTTCTATTTGTTATTTCAGATCACTAGTGCTAGTCACTCTACTGGCATTTTCACTACAAGGCTAGAAACTTTGTATTGATCACCAAAATATGAGACTATAGATTTTATAAGTTTGGTTGTTTCTCAAGAAATCCTTCACACTAAGGGGTTGAGTGGAAGAAAAAGGGAAATAATGGTGTGTGCGTGTGTTACAAAAATGCATAATTAATGCTGTCCAGTATTTGCTCATCTAAATATAAGAAGAATGGGGATTTTTTACCAAGTAAAACTATATAAAGTGGTGGTGATGTGTGCCATCATTGCCATATATTTGATTTGAGATGCAAAAATTGCTAGAGTATATTTAGGTACATCCATACTATTGCAAAATATACTTAGACTGTGAAGAAACTCAAACAGTAATGTAATTATATTTATTCAAAGGAAGCAGTCAATCTTTTTCTGAACACTTTTCATTTGTAAAATACATATGCCTCTATATAAGGTGATTCAAAATGTAGAATAATGGGCAAAATGAATACTAGAACAAGAATTTGCAGTACTCATTAAAAATACATTTAAAACCAGAACTTTCTTCAGTACCTGTTTTTGTGGATTTCATTAAGTGAGGTTCTTGACACAATTCTACTTTCTGAAGTAAAATTTAAAAAGGGACAAAGTGTTAGCTGTCTAGACAGATATGATTTCTGATGGAAAAGCTCTCTACTGTCATGTTTTGGACAGACTTCAGCTCTGTTAAAATGACCATGGAAACCGATGAAAAAGGAAGAGCTAATAACTGGCACCTATTTTTATGTCCATCACATGTGTAAGATTCTGCATCTGCTAGTCTGCAATTCACTGAAGGAGTTTTTTGTTATAAAAAAAAATTTCTCTGGTCAAAGTCTCAACAATTTTACTTACTTTGACTCAGCATTTAAAAATCTTTTTACTGTGTGTTTGCGTAGGGGTGTTACATACCCTTTACTTGCCTTGTTGGCCTGTCTTGTACAGCAATAAAAAAAAAATAATAATAAAATGCTGAGATGTTATGAATTGATTGTGCTATGCAGTATTGGTTTTATAGTAGATATTAAAGTGTCTAAAGTCATCTTTAAGAATTAATATGTGACTGGAACATCTTTCAATGGTCTGAATAAGATTTTGTCCACCTCTGTTTTGGATAGCTGCCATGTCTCCATTTTTGAGGTCTCACTGATCCTGTTTCAGACTATTGTAGGAAAGCAGTTTCTTTATGTATAATGTGGACTTTTTGTTATTTCCTAAAAATTTTGTATCCATCTGTCTGAACTCTATTCATGAAAACTATTGTGTCTATATGTGTTGCCCAATTTTTTCAGGTAGCACCAGCACACCTTCCCAGCTGTCTGCTCTTGGAAGATCACTGCAGAAATCTTGGCTCTGCAGTGGGCAGAGGGATTTGTGTTGACTGACAGAATGTTGCTGCCATAACCTGTCTTCTTGACTTTTGAGGAGAATATCCTGCAGACCTCAGTCGTCTTCACCTGAGTCCTCAGAGACATGTAATTTCCCTTGATCTTCTCAGTCCCCTCATACCTATGTAGATGGGCAACAAGGAGGAGTACTTCAAGACCTCTGTGAGTTCCAGCATGCTCTGCAAGGTTGAGGTTCTGGGCCCTGGAAAAGCACCAAATCTCCTAAAAGAGCAAATCTGTTTGGAAGATGGGCTTGTATGCCAGCCTTCACCTACTCCTACATGCTAACTAGTTCTTAAAGACAGTTTTTATATGTGTGCGTTATTATCAATCCAAACTAATGATTTCACTGATCTTAGAGAAAATAAACCTATTTACAAAGTCTAACTTCTCCCAGTTCCTCCACCACAAATAGAAACTTTCTGTCCAACCGCCCCCCTTAAGGAACTGAATGACTCTGCTTGCATAAATGAAGACTTAAGACTGGAAGTAATTTTATGAACGTCACTTTTGAAGAAGAATGATCTATTTCTTTATGTATGCTGTTTAAGTATGAGTTTCACATACGGAATCGTAACAAAAATACTGTCGCTTCAATTCTAGGCTCCTAAAATGTAACTGCTGTTCATTCTTGGGAACTTTTTACAACTTCTTTCCTGACACTTCAGTAAATGTGCATCTTGGACTGGAAGTTTGGATTAAAAGGTAACTGAGTTTCAAGCCTAATGAATGAAGGGCCAGTCTTCATGAATCATATTGCTTCAGACTTCTATTTGATGTTCATGGAAGCTTAGGGAAATAAAGGACTGAGGCTTCAGACCTAGTGCTGCTTAGCCATCTGCATTTGAATATTCCTTTAAATAAGAGGCCTTTTAAATAAGAGGCCTTTGAATCTGGTTAGGTAGCAGAATAACTGGACTGAAGTTCTCAGCCTGTGGAGCTTTGATTTCTTTGCATTTAGGAAAATGTCTGGTTTCTTAGAAGTTGAAGTAAAGACTTAGTTGCCTATAATTTGGAAATCAGCTTCAAAGCTTAGTTTTCGCTACTGAGTGGATGACTTAAAAGGTGATAAAAGGAGAAAGTAGGAAGCTTTTAGAACTAAAAAATTTTGAATGAGAAAGTAGAATATTCAAGCACTCCATCCTCATTCTACGGTAAGTGGATCTTGCTCAGGCTTTTGTCTTTCTAAGTCAGAGCTGACTTAGAAAGGGGGAATGCTTCTGGAAATTGATTAAAAATGAGAAAATGAGGTATCAAATAATTATTTCAAAAAGCAAGTCAAATATTAGCCTGTTTTGTTCATTAGAGAAAATCAGGAATAATTATGATACAGTAGGGGATTGTCCTTCAGTGTCTAGGATTAGAGTTTCTCACTGTTTTTAAGCAGAGTATGTTCACTCTTTCATTTAACTAGCTGAACAGAACTGTTCTGGCAGTCTCCAAAGACTGACTTATTCCAACTACAAAACATTCCCACTGCATACTTTGATAGAAAACTTTCACCAATTTTATGTAGGCTCAGCTGCTTTGTGAATTGAACTAGATACCATGTAGAGAAGGCAGTTCATCTCTGCTAACATCTCATGTGTTATCTTAATCTGGCAGGCAAGCACCACACAACTGTTTGCTCACTCCCCTCCAGATGGATGGTGAAGAGAATCAGGAAAAAAGTTAAAAACACATTGGTTGAGATTGAGACAGTTGAATAGGACAGAAAAGGGAGGGCAGTGTTGATATAAAAATATACAGAGCAAGTGATGTGCAAAGCAATTTTTCACCACCTGCTGACTGATGTCCAGCTGGTCCCTGAGCAGTGGCAGCCCCTCACCAACCCCCTAGTATTATTGTTCTCCATGATACCACAAGGTATGGGACAACCCTTTGGTCAGTCTGAGTCAGCTGTCCTGGTTTTGTACCCTCCAAGCCTCTTGTCCACCCCATCCTCCTTGCTGGGAGGGTGGTATAAGAAGCTGAAAAGTCCTTGGCTCTGTGCAAGCATTGATCTGCAGCAACTAAAATGTGTGTTATCAGCACTTTTTTTTCTCTTAAATTAAAAACAACATACCAGCCACTATAAAGAAAATAAATCTATTTCAACTGAAACCAGGACAATATCTACCCCTTATTCTATACTGTTTACTTCATGCTCAGGTCCCATGCTTTTTATTAATCCTAATTAATCACATTTCTTCATATATATACATATACATACATATATATGTATATGTGTGTGTATGTATATATATAAATATACAGATACCTTTCCTTTAGCTTATTGTATATATATATATATATACCATTTGTATATATATATATATATATACAGATACCATTACCTTGGCTTATTGGCCACCACCCTAAAATGTCTGTTGAGTTTTAGTCCATGGCTCTGGGCTCCATCTGTCATAACAGTCCTTCAGGGTAGGAGAGATGGTGTGCAATGTTGGATTGCTGTGTGCTGAGGCCAGCTCTGGCTCCATTGCTGTTGCACTTTTGTGGTGGTTTTTCTTGCAACACATGTACCCATGCCTCTAGGCTGGGGTAGATTTTTTCCATCTGAGTTTCTCATGTCTTCTCGGTGGTCACACAGGTAAAACCACTGGGTAGCATGTGGTGTGTACCCACTATATCCTTCCTCCTTATCAGAGGAATGCTTACTCCTAATAGCTGAGATACTGGTCTGTACAAATGGGGAATAGGGCATGGCCTCTTAATTGCTGGAACTCCTGGTACAGTTCCTCCACAGCTGAGATGCAAGCCCACAGAGAAAAAGAGAGGCTTTCTTCATACCGCTGGAGTTGGCAGCCAATTCATCCACTATTTGTTCCTCTCAATCTTTCCAAGCTATTACTGCCAGTGAGTTGGCATACAATGATGTTGCACTCCATACAAACTTCTGCCACATGGGTCACATGTACGTGACTTCATCTGGATCTTTGGATAACTGCTCATTATCACAGAATCACAGAACTGTAGGGGTTGGAAGGGACCTCGAAAGATCATCAGGTCCAACCCCCTGCCAAAGCAGGTTCCTCAGAGCAGGCCGCCGAGGTAGGTGTCCAGACAGGCCTTGAATATCTCTAGAGAAGGAGACCCCACAACCTCCCTAGGCAGCCTGTTCCGATGCTCCATCACCCTCACCATGAAGAAGTTCTTTCGCAGAAAGAATTCACAGAAAGAATTATCTAGGTCATCATAAATAATCTCCAGCATGGAGAATTCCCTGGGGTACTCTCCATAGTGGTCTGGTTGGTTGGGTGACACGTATCATCTTCCTTGAAGGAATGCCTTTCTTCACGCCTGACAAGAGCTGCCTCCAGAGGTTGAAGACTTGTGCCCCTTTTCCAACTGCTTTGTCAATGCCTCCATCCCTAGAAGGATCCCAGCTGCCTGGCTTCCCCGCCTTCTGATTTTATGCTTCTAGCCCTGTTAGCCCAGCCTCAGAGCAGCCAGGTAAGTGTGCTCACCTGGGCAGTGACTGAAATCTTTACGCACATTTTGTGGGTCACCTAGTGATAGGGCGGTTAGTGCTGCATCTGTGAGTTCTGCCTCCTCCCTCTTCTGATGGCCCTGCTTCAGAATAGCCTGTTTTGCCCACTTCTTCTTCTGCCTTGTCTGAGTAGGAGTTTCTTTCCTTATTAAATGAGCTGACTTTCACATCCGTTGTATCTTCTTAAATATAGGGAGAGAGATAATAGCACAGGTTGGTTCTCTGGTTCAGCTGCTGTGCCTATAATTTTGTCATCAAAGCCCTTGATGGTGCCAAATAGAGGTGAGTGGGGCTCGATAGGCATAGGTCAGGCACCTGTGCTTTGCAGTGATTGTGTCTCTCTGGATTTGTCAGGGTGACAGAATACTTGTTCTAAATAACTTACTAGCTTTTCAAGTATTTTTACTTGTTCAAGGATGGAATTCCAAAACATAGGAGGTACCCACTGCCTTAGGTGCCTGCCCATACTGTCCCACACACCCTGCCACTCATAACTATCCAAACATGGGGTAGATCTCTGGGTAATATTCATAAATAATTATTTAATCATAAGCAAAACCTGAAACGCATTCGGGAGACATAAAAACAGGAATGTGCTAATTTGAACATCCCAAGGACATTCAAAGTTCTCAAGAGCTAATGTAGCTACCCGGAGGAGAAGGGGAAGGTCAAGGTGAAAAGGAAGGTAAAAAACATGGGGAAAGTGTCTCCCCCATAGATTGGCTTTCTGAGGGGGAAAGGTAGAGAGTGTAATTATTAACATTTTTCAGGAGATGGCTCCAGACAGATTGAGATGATGGGATGATGGTAATGCTGAGTACAAATGCTGGATTAGTCTAATGACTGGTAATTTTATCATATTGTGTATGTGTAACCTAGTGTTACACAGTACAGCAAAATGATAACCAATCCACCACCGCCATGCCCCCTGCCCCCCACCCAAGGTGATAAAAAGCACAACAGGGAGCATACACTGCAAGTAAGGTTCTACAAAATACAACTCTGAGAGCAAGCACAACAACACAGGGTAAAAATCAATCAATTAATCAACATTGTGACCAGCAACTATTAAACTAATATAATGCTTATAAAAAACTTATTTTAACATGCTTTGATCAGATCTATCATTATCGCACCCCTTCAAGCCCCATGTTGGGCGGGCACCAGAAGAGCTATTCTGGTTTAACCCAGCAGGCAGCCAAGCACCACATAGCCATTTGCTCTCTCCTGGGATGGGGGACAGAACCAGAAAAAGGTAAAAATTATCAGTTGAGATAAAGATAATTCTAATAGGACAGAAAAGGAACTGATAATAGTAGCAATGATAACAGAATATACAAAGTAGAATATTCAAGACTATAACAGAATATACAAAAACAGTGATGCACAATGTGGTTGCTCAAAGGACATCCCTTTGGCAGTTTGGGTAAGCTGTCCTGGTTATGTCCCCTTCTAGTTTCTTGTGGCAAGGTGTTATGAGAAGCTGAGAAGATCTTGACTCTGTGTAAGCACTGCTTACTCAATAACAATTAAAACATCAGCATGTTGGATTTAGGATGAGAACAATACTGATAAAGCACAGCACCGTACCAAGTGCTAGAAAAAAACACAGCTCTTTTCCAGACATAACCAAGATGTCATGTTACAAGAACTAGACAGCGTGTGCCCACCCACCCCCCCCTTGTTCATTTACAAATAGTGAGAAAGAATTATCTATAAAAGGCTATTATCTATAGCCTTGCAAATGGAAAGTGAGTTCTAGGACTGATGAAGGTGGGAAGGGTAACTTTCATGTGATTCCTGTTAGCCTGAGCCGTGGCTCATCCACTTCTCAGGACTCAGGAGTTTGCAAGGAATCTGTTCTACCTATCCAAAGAGCAAGTCATCAGCATTTTCT